TTTATTTCATAAATTTTACATTCCACTTTCTATGCTTAACACATATTGGTGTGAATCCCGTCGGTTGTGAAGGGAAATGATAAATAGTGTTCTCTCTCTCTCTAGTCCCAAACATTTGCAACAATATGATATTTATAAAACCTTTTCAGCTCTGATAATGGAACCTCTCCCGTACTCTTAAACTCCTAGGTATCAAGAGTTCTCTTTAAACTCCTAGGTATCAAGAGTTTTCTTTAAACTCCTAGGTATCAAGAGTTCTCTTTAAACTCCTATTATCAAGAGTTCTCTTTAAAACTGCATGGGGTTAATAAAAAAGAGTTTTCATAAAAAAGTTTATCAAAATAAAGTTTTCTAAAAAACCCTATGGTTTTTTCAAAAACCGCAGGTGGGATTTAGCTTTTATCATTTTATCTCTTTTCGCAATTGAAATTAAAGGGAAGTGATAAATTTCAACTTCTGAAAAAAATATTACGGCATTAATTTAGATTATTTAAAGACGACATTAAAGTGCAGTTATCTATTCAAGGAAATTACTATTGGTTTGTAATTTGTTTGGTTTAAATATATTTGTATAACCTTGAATACTTGAAATTATCGACATAACTCAATAATTTTAACGATCCCTGTGTATCCGAACTAGCTTGAAACTCTATAAAAGTCCACTTACTTAACCTTAAATGGTTTAACCAATCTAAAAACATTCCGATGGTTCTGTCAAGTTCCCCAATCAAAATTTGAGGCAAATCGATCCAGGGGTTTATGAGTTATGATCGGACATCCAAACAGATACCGGTAATTAAAGAATCTTCTCCTGAAGAAATACATTCCACCGATATTACTCAATAATCTGAACAATCGAATTAATCAGTTCACCTAAAAATACAAAAGGTACAAAAGTCTTAAATAAAGAAATAATAAGCCAATTATAACCTCAGGAAAAAGATGGTTTATGTACAATATAGGAATTGAGTTTTTATCATAAAGTCTGATTTGTTAAATCCAATAAATTGATTGAACATTTGAGTTTGTGGCAAAAACTCATTTCTTTTATAACATTTGTTATCCTAAATATATTTCCAATTCCCGTGTTATCCTTTACCTTTTGAATTCTTTTTATCGTTTTTACATATCAGCTCAGAAATAAATCTTTTATTATAAGTTGATGTATTGAGCTGAGACGGAGGATAGATTGAACCAATTTCTTGTTCCCCCCCCCCCCCCCCTCTACCAGATTTGGAATAAAATTATACTATGGGAAAATCTTAAACTTAAATCCCATCATGAATACATACATTACATACACTTCTTCTACATTCACAAGGCTTATATTTATCAATATGTTTTCAATATTTTGTGGTTCCTTAATTCTCAGTTCCGCAAAGGAACTGAATAATCATCTCAAATTCTAATTTTATTATCCTTATATCTTTGTAACCTAATGCTGCAAAGCTTGGATTTTCCAATATATTCCTCCAAAGTTTTCTCGTTTTCCTCCCAAATATTTGATTAACAATTGTCTAAAATATTTTTGTACCCGAAAAAGATGTATTCAAAATTCAAATAGGTGGTTAGACTTTTTGAAAGAAGATGAAATTGAACCATATTCTGCATGTTCAACTATAGTGCCTAAGTTGAACTGGCTGTACCTAGTTCAATTACTTTTTCTCTTGTAATATTTCAAAACTAAGTTACATAAAGACGTTTAGGTGGAGTAGGGTAGAGCCAAAATCAATTCTGGACCATGCAATCAAAATTTATTTGTAAAATTTGCATTTGAGAATAGAGACATTCCCTTCGTATCATTTCCGAAAACAATATAAATAGGTGATAATATTTGATTTTATTATTATAACTATCTATAACACTGTTATTTTGATTCCCAGTGTTATAAAATTTTTGGACAGAAATCCCTTTATCGAGAAGTTCTTTAATTTTGTCCCAAACTTTAGCGCGCAAAGGGGCAAAATAAAATCTAACTTACATTTCCTAACCCCTTTATCTTTGCAACCTGATGGTGTAAACCTTTGATATTTCAAACTTAGACTATTTGATCTATACCAGAATTAATAATTTGAAACATCAAAGGTCCAGAAAAACGGGTTGCAAAGTTATAGGAATTTGAAAATTAGATAATCTGAGTTTGTGGCAAAAACTCAATTCCTTTAAGTTCAAAAACTTTATAGCACGTCGTGCCAAAATAATAGTGTAATTTTTTTTAAACGTTTGTGTACTCGTCTTATTTCAATGGCTATTTCTGTAGATCATTAATAACATTTTTATATAATTATTATGGTGGCATATATAGGATTTAATCTTAAAATTAAAATATCTAAACTTTTAATTCAAGGAGTTTGGAGAACTCTCCCCTCCTCCCACCCTTGTACCATTCTACTTTCTAATGTATACGCCTTATTAATTCATGAAATTAGTTTATCTCCAAGAGGTTCAAGGAGTCACAGGCTTTGCTATAGGAAGAAATCAATAATTAATTCTATTTTTTTGTAAATAAAATTCACTCATTCATTTTTCGTCTCAGACATATTCAAATCATGTTGAATACCCTGCTGCAGTTGAAATTATTTTATCCTAAAAGTGTCAAACTTGTTTTTAGATAAAAACATTTGAAATTGAATTCTTGAATTGTTGAAGGCCTGCTTCCGCTTTTTTCTGTATTTATTGTAGCAATATCCTACCAGGCAGGTCTAGGGCCCATCCCCTGGTCTTATCAAAGTAAGTTTTTTTTATACACTAGGCTTTCAGGGCGCTCCGCGCCAATCTTCCATTGTCAACATTTTCTCTTTGTATACATTGTAAAACAAAAACAAAAATCTTCCCTGGGGTCATGTGGGTCCCACAATAAATTTGGGCCCAATCGGTTCAGTCGTTTTGACGTTTATTAAATAGAAAAAAACCAGACACCCAGACAGACAAGCAAAGTAGTATATACATAGAAGTAGAGGTAATATTTTTTGAAGTAGAGAACTTCTTTTGGGGGTCGTTCTTTAATATTTTCAATGCAAATCGATCCTGCAAAACCTCAAGGTTGCATTAAAGAACTTTACATTTGAAAGTCTTTTTGTTTTTTTACGGTTTGAACCAGGGCCCAAACCTTGATAAAGCTTTCTTGGGTTTTAAAAGTTAAATAAGTCCAGGGTCCATATCTCTTTCTCTATGAATCTATTTCTCTTTGAGAAAAATTCAAGTTTTGCAAAAACAAAACTAATAAAACTTTATTCTGTCTGTTTTCAACATAAAAGAACATAGATATCTAATTCATGATAACCTTAAATAAAGAGTTTCCAATCTTCAGTAAACAATGTAAAAATTTGATAATCATTAATTTATGCATTTATGCTTTTGTTGTTTATTTCTTCTTAACATTTTATTTAGTTTTCCTGGAATATTTAATCTCACAGTTATCTTCTTATTATTATATATATAAACATTACACTCGGAATTATGTATATATAAATATGTTTCCCATTTCCCTAGTAAAACGCAAATTGAGGATGGCTATACAGGCAATAAGCCATTTCGCAATTTATAGCAATTTTTCAGCCATCTTCCAGAGTTGCCATTCATTTTTTCCCCCTTTTTATACATATTATCAGAGCCCTTTTATGTGAAAAATATGTTTTTTCAATAAAGTATTTGAGACGAAATTGAACAGGATATTTTTTATCCTAGTTTTTCAGCTACTTTTTTATACTGTTAATCAGGAGATTTCTGGGGATATTTGAAAATATTCAACTTTCGATTAAAATTTTGAAAATAATTAACTCTAGAATTCTAGTTTTAAAAATATTCAACTCTAGAATATAGTTTTGATTAATATTCAACTCTAGATTATATTTTTGAGCAATATTCAACTCTAGAATATATTTTTGAGAAATATTCAACTCTAGATTATATTTTTGAAAATGATTATTTCCAGGTGAACTGTTTCCGGTTGACCTGCGCAGCTGGATGAGCGGTATTTCCGGTTGTATTTCTCATCTTTACGTCTTCCTCACTATTAAAACATTTCCTTCAGGTTTGTTTATACTTAAAAGCATAAAATCCCTTTAGGTCAAAACTATATATATTTACAGTCCCTTTATTATCTTGGAGTATACTGTCCCTTTGGTTTAGATTTATCTAGAAGTATACAGTCCCTTTAGCTTAGATTTATCTAGGAGTATACTATCCCTTTAGTTTAGATTTATCTTGGAGTATACTGTCCCTTTAGTTTAGATTTATCTTGGAGTATACTGTCCCTTTAGTTTAGATTTATCTAGATCAATTTAATAAAGCTTAGTTTCGGCCCTAGACCCCTGAAAGCACTGCAAATTCACATCTAAAATATGTTTGTGAAATGTGTAAATGTGAAAAAAGTTTTACCAACGATGCAAAATGTCGCATCTCTCATAAAAACTTTAATAAGAGTAAATGGTTTTACTACTTTTTTGATAAATTATAGATATATTGTAGAGCGAAAATCAAAAAAGAAAGCTGAATTTGGAATTATAAAAACAGTCATGATTACATGGCTTTGTTGGATTTATTCACACTCTTATCATAAACTTTGTTTTATTATTTTTAGGTCACATCGTTTTAGGATTTAGGATCGAAAATATTTACAGCTTAAACTAATACTCTTTTAGTTTTGTTTAAATTTTATAAACTGAAATAATACTGACATCCTCTCCCCCCTTTTCTGTTCTACTCTTAATCCCCCCCTGCCATTCTCATGCCCACCAACCCCCTTTTCTACTCTATACATTAATCCCCCCTTTCTCCTCTTCCATTTTAGTTTTGTTTGAAGTTACAATATTTGTAAACAGATATTATCTTCAGTGGAATGTTTCAAATTCATGAAAAATGAATATTTAAATATAGGGTTACCCACAAAGGATGAGACTTCAGAGACGACTGTGCAGAATCAAAACTGTCTGATTTCGTATGGTTCCCAGAAACTGTAAGCTTGTTTATCTCTTAAGACTTCATTCAACCTAGGAATCTCCAGATTAAAAAATGTCCAGGTCGTCTTTACAGTCTCATCCTTTGGGGCAACCCTGTATATCTACGGTCTTCTAATTTTAAAGATTTTTTATATCAGTACACATCCTCAGTGATTACAGTACAGTACACTGTATTTGTGGTACAGTACACAAACTCTTTATTTAAAGTTTAAGAGTAAACATTTATTTTTTTACATAATCTCTGTATTTACATTACAGAGTACACATTTTTTTACAATACAAAGTACACATTCACCTTTTACAATGCAGAGTACACATGCTCTTTTTTACAGTACAGAACAAATTCTCCATATTTACAGTACAGATTTTACATTGTGTTATATACAGAACAGTACACATTCTCCTTTTTTACAGTATACAGAGTACAAATTCTCATCACTTACAGAACAGCATACATTCTCCTTATTTACACTACAGTACACATTCTCCTTATTTACACTACAGTACACATTCTCTTATCCAATGAATGTAAGGCAAGGAAAGTCATTTCAGTGGTGTACGCATTTTTTGTACTGCAGTGTACTGTCTTTGGGTTCTAATATAAACACAAGAGTAGGGGTGTCACAGCCTGACATGGGATCCATCTTTCAAACAAAAAATCAATGATTTATTCTGGTCATAGGAATTTATAACATAAATTATCAAAATTTAAAAAAACTTTAAGTTATTCCATTGTAATATTTTACTAAGGTTGTGGAAAAACTTCTGCATTTTTAATTATTTAACAATGAGACCCAATAAATGTACAACGTCTTTTTTGTTGAAAAAAATCTCAAGAACAGAAATAAACTATCAACTATAAACTATATTATGGTCGTTTTTGGGTAAGGAATGGTTCAATTCGTTCAATACTTAAAATATGAAAATTATTTTGCTTTAGGCTTCACTTTACGATGGTAGGCGATTATATCAATATCATGAAGAATCCAAATAAATGTTTTCACAGACAGTACTAAGGAGAAGTAAATTCTCCATTGAACCCCCCTCCTCGAATACTGAACGAACACTGATGCATCTATTATTGTTTATAAAATCCCCCAAATAGAACTGGTTTCAATATGTACACAAAGTATACAAAACAGCAATTGACTTTCCTTGCCTTACATTCATTGCTCTTATCTATAGTACAGTACATATTCTCCCTATTTCCAGTACAGTACACATTCTCCTTTTTACAGTACAGAGTGCAAACTCTTCTTATTTATAGTACAGTACATTCTCCTTAATTACAGTACAGAGTACACATTCTCTTGTTTACAGTACAGTACACATTCTCCCCCCATGGTGCGTACTGGTTCTACGCTTGTATTGGTTTATTAGCAGCAATCTTCGGAGCTACATTTCTTCCGGATACAAAGGTTAGGTTCTAAGGGATTTTTCACACAAATAAAATTGAGAAAATATCCCCACCCCCCACCCCGGGAAATTTGTGAATGGATCTAGGGGGGCGGCGATACGTTGTAATTTTATTTTATTTTTAAGAATGTGGGCCGGCATCAGAGTGCCCCATTCTATTAATAGCTATTGATCGAATCTGCTGCCAATATATAAAAATTGAATATTTTCTTATACAGGGTGTTCCAATAAACACATAAAGATGGGAATTTAAAGAAGACTTTAAGATCGTTCTTAATTTCTGATAATTGATAAATGACAAAGAATGTATTATGAAAAGGTTGTACGTTTTCCAGTTTCTTTGTATCTTTAAAATAAAATTTTAAAACAATTTTATTTTTAAAGTTTTAACGGGGATACTACTAAAATTGTGTCCACAACATAATGCCGCGTGAAACAAAAACGATATAAGAGTCGTCACTTAAGTCCAATGTTTATTGGGACACCCTGTATCTGGACAAACTCTTGAAGAGAAGAGAAGAATTGATTAGAAGTATACATGGAGAAATCTTTTGAGAAAACACAAAAATTCTTTCTAACAAAGTTTTAAATATCTTATAACTCTCTGAGAAAAACTTATTTAAAAAACAACAACAACAACAACAAAAATATAAATATACAATCGGGGTTATGTCTACCGAGCTTGTCATGAAGTGGTCTATACCTTTATCGTGTCTTAAAAATTGACGAAGATATTAGATATTAAGACAGCTTGGATTTAATAAATAAATTGAAATTTGTACATATTTTTCCAAATATCCGTCAATTTTAATGATAAAAATGGTATACCTTATTTAAAAATCTCAAGACCAAGCGTTTTCGATAACAGATGTGTAAACTGGAATACTGTAATTATTTTGTTCATGAAAAAATGCCACATAGAGCGAAGACGATATAAAAGTCGCACTTAACTCCCTTGTATATTTGGACACCCTGCAGCATGCAGAGTGGCCTGATGGATTTACAACTCCCATTAAACTGTTTTCTGATCAAGGATGACCGAGGGCTTACATTTGTTATCCACACCATCCTAAACTAAGCTTTTGGAGATGCAGTAAACTGCATTAATCTTTAAAACAGGGATGAATCAAAGTTTTCAACTTATACATGTATATACTATATACTGTATACTGTATACTGTATACATATACATGTATATACTATATACTGTATACTGTATACTGTATACATATACATGTATATACTATATACTGTATAACCCTCAATATATATAAGTATGTTTAGGGTAAAAGTTTGGCTGAAGTTTCAGAATATTTTACCTCCAGCTGTTGTATTCTCAGGTTAATATTATCATAAGACGAGTTAACAGGTTCGGAGAAGTTAACATGCTCTAGAATAGGTTAAATGTACTTTACTCCATGTTTTGGTCGGGTCTTAGGTATTGGTATCATTTATTGAAGTCCTTAATAGCATGTCCTGAATAGGGGATTTTAAATAGCACGTCCTTAATATCATGTCCTCAATAGGTCATTTTAAATAGCACGTCCTTGATAGCATGTTCTGAGAAGTGCATCCTATAGCTCGTCCTTTAGCACTTCCTACGTAGGGCAGTCTAATAAGCACGTCCTTAATACCACTTTCTTCATTGTGCATCATAAATAGCACGTCCTTTATAGCATGTCTTTTTCCTCAAAAGGGCATTCTAAATTGTACGTCCTGAATAGCACTTCCTTCACACGGCATTCTAAATAACACGTCCTTAATAGCACTTCCATCATAGAGCATCATAAATAACACATCCTCAACAGCACTTCCATCACAGAGCATCATAAATAACACATCCTTAATAGCACTTCCATCATAGTGCATTATAAATAGCACATCCTTAATAGCACTACCTTCATAGGGCATCATAAATAGCACATCCTTAATAGCACTACCTTCATAGGGCATCATAAATAGCACATCCTTAATAGCACTACCTTCATAGGGCATCATAAATAGCACATCCTTTAAAGCACTTCCTTATTAGTGCATCAAAAATAGCATGTCCTTAATTGCACGTTCTTTAAAGTGCATCTTTAATAGCACGTCCTTCATAGCAGGTCTTTTTCCTCAATAGGGCATCGTAAATAGCAAGTCCTTAATAGCACCTTCTTAATTGTGCATTATATATAGCACATCCTTAATAGGATTTTCTTCATAGTGCATCATAAAATGGCACGCCCTTAATATCATTTTCTTCATAGTAAATCATAAATAGCACCTCCTTAATAGCACTTTCTTCATTGTGCATCATACATAGCACATCGTTGATAGGACTTTCTTCATAGTGCATCACATATAACACATCACATATTGCAATTTTTTCATAGTGCGTCATAAATAGCACGCCCTTAATTGCACTTTATTAATTGTGCATCATAAATAGCACGTCCTTAATAACACTTTCTTCTTGGTGCATCATAAATAGAACTTTCTTCATACTGCATCACAAATAGAACGTCCTCAATAGCACTTTCTACATTGTGGAATGTGCATCATAACTAGCACATCCTTAATAGCACTTTCTTCATTGTGCATCATAAATAGCACGTCCTTCGTAGCACTTTCTTCATAGTGCATCACAAATAGCACGTCCTTAATAGCACTTTCTTCATTGAGCATCATAAATAGCACTTCCTTAATAGCACTTCCTTCATAGTGCATCAATCATAAATAGCACGCCCTTAATAGCACTTCCTTCATGGGGCATCTAAAATAGAACATCCGTTATAGCATGTCATTGTCCTCAATAGGACATCCTAAATTGAACGTATTAATATCATGTCCTCAATATTGATTCCAAAATAGCACGTCTTTTTAATAATATGTCCTCAATAGTGCAACATAAATAGCACGTCTTTTTAATAGTATCTCCTCAATAGTGCATCATAAATAGCACGTCCTTTAATTGCATGTCCTAATGGTGCATCATAATTATTCCTCGTACTTTATAACATGGCCTTAATAGTGCATCTAAATAGCACGTCCTTATTGGCACGTCCTCGATAGTAAATCCTATATGATGTATAGGACGTCATTGCCCGATGATCTTCTGCTAAAATAAAGCTAAAATTTTTATTTTGTTACGCATCTCGTTTGTATAAATGTTTTAAATATAGTTCTCTAGTTCTATATAAGAATTAAATCCATCAACGATCACTTTTCGCGATCATTCTTTTATTGTATTATGATTTATTTTTCGAATTTCTAATTTAAATCTCTCAGAACGTTGATCTTATTTCTTTAATTTTTCCACGGAAACCAACTCAGCTGTTTAAACTTTTGTCCTTATATTTATCTAACCCACATATTTGTTTTTGTTGTGAAATTATTTGTTCTTAAACCCAATTAACTGTTTTGGTTACACGCCAGAAAACTTTAACGATGACTCGGCTTAATTCACAAAATAAAAATCTTTTTGTATTTACATCACGCAACCTCGTATCTTTATAAGTTTGTAAAAATACTTTCTACATAGCTAGCAACACATGTAGGCTAACAATATTTTACAATCGATCTTACACGTACTTGGCTGCAGCTCTAGGCCCATAAATTGTACCATGAAAAATAGAAAAGATCGAAAATACAATGGATGAGATTGCACGATGACATGTTTTTAACCCTCGAAGATGTCGTAAAAAGGGTTCAAATGTCTTCTGTAAGATAGACCTTAAATGTTACAAAGAATTTTAACCCCCTAAATTAACTTAAGTTAAGTCGAAATCGATATAATTATTAATATAAATATTTGTTAGTTTGTCAAAACGGCTTAGAATAAAATACTAGATAAGACGTCTAAACAATAAAAATTTATGAAAGCATAACTTTTAATGCTACTTTAACTTCTTTTTTGAAAGTTCAAACCTGTAAAAATAATTTATCTTAAGGTTTCAATTCAGTACATAAAGATAGAATTGAAATTTATTCATATATTTAGGAAAAGAAAGAAAGGAGAAAGTACATCTATCTCTGAACCCGTCATCAATTCTCAAGAAATAGATTGTTTAGTTGAAAAAGTTTAAATTGTATATATTTCAAAATATTTAAAAAGATAGGTTTTGTTTCGAACATAACAAAACACGCTAGATTTGAGGTAAAAGCTACAAATTTAGTAACGTTGCTTTTAATTATGTACCAGAAGTACACATAATAAATAGTTAAATTATGTGTATTCCTCTATATTCCATCATTCTAGTTACAATGTTTATACCATGTATATTTTATTATGTGTATTTGTAATCTATATATCAATTGATCCGGAATTCGTTAATGAGATTTAAGTTTAAATGAAGTCTAAAGATAGTCTCAGTTGTGTTTCTTATTTCAAATAATAGTCATTTTTCTATTAATCTAAAATTATCTAAAAATCCCTTGAAACTTGAATAACAATTTAACTGAATTTATAAAATTAAAATTCTAAACAGTAAGGGCCATACAATTTTAGAAACGGAAGACGATATTTTAACAATTAAACGTGCATTTGAGGGTGTTATAAAGGAAAAAGTTTTACTGGTAGCTTAAAAACCGACTTAGTAGGGGAAATGGGTTTAAGTTCATTACCAAAATTCGTGTGTTTAATGCTTTTGCGCGTCTAACAGTAGTCTTCCTATGCCACTCTCTTATGGGTCTCGCTGTATAGCCATACATCTGTTTCGCGACAATCGGTCTCGATCTGAAAGTAAGCCGCCCCTGGATTATCCTCGCCTGTTTGCTGAGTTGCCCCTGGAGGAGATGTGTGCTGAGGCCGTTCCTTCTATAGATAGTGGACGTGTAGTTCACGTACTTTGGAGGACTATAATTTGGCCGCTAGATGTCTCCCGTGAGTTATTCATGGACGGACAGAGTTTCTCACGCCATACGGTATCTGGATCATTACCCGTACTGTGGCCATGATTTACTTTGAGAAAAGGTGGCAGCACTAATCAAAGTAGCTCTCTGAATTCATTTCATAAATTATTGCAGTGTTTTGTTTTTGAGATCCATTATGAATTTGAAATTAAATCAAAGTACAATTTCCTATGTTTAAGATAGTTTGCCGCATTCAAATCAAATTCATAATAAGCTTTCCCTTTTTTTCCGTCGATAGGGGTCGCATATGTATGTGTTTATGGTCGGACAATACTCGGACACTGATAACTCATGGAAGAACGCGTTTGAACAAAACACTATTTCTCCGTACATTTCACGACCAAAATAGGAGACGTGAAGTTGTCGACCAATTTAGTTTATGGAAGGAACGGCCTCTGTGTGGTGCTGCGTGGATAGACTTACCGGCAGCAAACAAGTTTTATAAAGGCAAAGGCCAGGGTTAGTTTGTTGTGTGACTTAAGCTTTTGACGGAGAAACAATTTTTATAGTCCCGCGCATCCCGCGTCGGTTTTTGTGGATGTAACATAAGTGCGTTAAGAACTAGTGTTTTACTTGTGTTTATGTTTCACAGAAAACGTTTTATTCTATAGTCAAAGGATATTACTAATTGGATTATTGCTTAGTCACATTGAGGTAAATCTTTTGTACCCGTGGGTTTGGTCTATATATTATGATATGCAGGGTGTTTTAGTTCAGATATATAAGAAGACGGGGTCTACCCTACGATTGTATACAGTTCAGTTTAGACATATTCTTCTTATTGTTTTACAAAATGATATCCAAAATGATATCCAAAGATCGTATAAAGAAGGTCTTTCTTTGAAGAGTGAACCTTTGAAACTGACTGCTTGACTTTACTCTGAGAGAATTGATAGAGTAAATGGTTGAACAGTAGGGCGGTTCATTTGATCGCGTTACAACATCAAATAAATCTTTGTAAACTTTCTAATTCCCATTTTATTAAATTTTACTTGACTAAACCGTTTACTAACATCTCTTTAGTTACATATATGTAGATATTTTAGAATCCTTTTATTACCCGACATAAATCTTAAGTTTTCATGGTTCCCTGGAAAGAATGACACATAAGATTTAATATATCTGGTCTAGTCAAGTGTAGGGAGATTTACTAGCTCCAGGAAGCTTCTGTATACCCCAGACCACCGGCCAAAGATACAGGGGTCTCTAAAAGATATTGGTAGACACTTGTACAAAGAACGGTCTACACAAATCTAAAATAATTATCAACAAATATAAAATATCGATCTAAAAATCTAAAATAACGATCTAAAAATCTAAAATAATGACCTAAAATCTGAAAAACCCGATCTATAGATAAAAAAGAACTATTTTTATATCTTAAAGAACTATCTATACATATACAGAATTACCCACAAATACGACTATACGGAATTTATACTGTCCGTTTCATTTTATTTATAATTCCCTGCAACTATTAACTCCTTTCTTTCCTCGCCAAATTATTAAATAAACAATTTAAAGACCACTCAACCCTTAACTTAACTCTGCATCTAAAAAAGTATCTATTTATCTAAAATTACTATTTTATAGATCTAAAAGAACTATTTACATATCTAAAAGAACGATCTTTATAAATCTAAAAGAACTATTTACATATCAAAAAGAACGATCTATATAAATCTAAAAGAACTATTTGCATATCTAAAAGAACAATCTATATAGATCAAAAGAACTATCTAGTTTAATCTAAAAAAATATTTACATATATAAAAAAACTATCTATATAGATTTAAAAGAACTATTTACATATATAAAAGAACGATATATATAGATCTAAAAGAAATAATATATATCTAAAGTAATTATCTATACATCTAAAAGAACGATCTATATAGATTTAAAAGAACTAATATATATCTAAAAGAATTATCTATACATCTAAAAGAACGATCTATATAGATTTAAAAGAACTAATATATATCTAAAATAATTATCTATACATCTAAAAGAACGATCTATATAGATCTAAAAGAACTAATATATATATCTAAAAGAATTATTTATACATCTAAAAGAACGATCTATATAAATTTAACAGAATAATCTATATAAATCTAAAAGAACTATTTACATATCTAAAAGAACAATCTATATAAATCTAAAAGAATGATCTATATAAATATATAAGAACGATCTATATTCATCTAGAAAAACGATCTATATAAATATAGAAGAACGGTCTAAATTAATCTAAAAGAACGATCTATATAAATCTAAAATAACGATCTCTATATCTAAAAGAGCGATCTATAAATCTAGAAGAGCGATCTTTAAATCTGATTTTGTTGCATAAATCTAAGTTGCAGAACATTGGTTGAACATCTACCTATCCATGTATACAGGAGAACTATTAAATATATAGCAAATATATCAAAAAATTTATATATGAAGGAACCGGGTGAACAAAAAACCTTGTTTCCTTTTTTACGTTTAGGGTTGAGACTAAAACAAACTGGAAAATGTACAATTTTTGACAATGAAAAAGAATGTAAGCGTTTAATCAATCAATTAATTGTACTTGATGATGGTTTAAATCAAATAAGGTTACCATATTAGCTTGAAAATCAAATAAGGTTACCATATTAGCTTGAAAATCAAATAAGGTTACCATATTAGCTGGAAAATCAAATAAGGTTTCTATATTAGCTTGAAAATCAAATAAGGTTTATACCATATTAGCTTGAAAATCAAATAAGGTTACTATATTAGCTTGAAAATCAAATAAGGTTACTATATTAGCTTGAAAATCAAATAAGGTTTATACCATATTAGCTTAAAAATCAAATAAGGTTTATACCATATTAGCTTGAAAATCAAATGTTGAAGTTATGTGGGTCTACGTGTTCAGTGTTCACTGTACAAATGCTTTGTTTCATGTTTATTGGCCTATTCTAATTAATGACTTGAGTCTATTGGTCGTTATCATATTCCACAGTTTATTGGTCCCGCAGTGGTACTTTAAAAAATTAAAATATACATTCTGTTTCAATTCAATTTCAAATATTCGGACAATTTTTTTTACATGAAGAAATTTTATCTGTTAAAATTAGTAATTAAGCTATATATTTAAACTAGTAATCTCTGTTTGTCTGTTTGTTTGTTTGTGTGTCTGATCATAAATACTAAGCAACCCTTTGACCTATTTGCCTCAAATTTGGATTGGGTGAACTCGGGAGAATCATGGGAATGTTCTTAGCTTGGTTTCGACTTTTATAGGGAAACGTAGTAGTGTAACGATCTAGGTCCCGATTCAATCTCCTAATACTTGACTCTAACTCTAATAACAAGTCTTCCCGACTTTATCTCTAGCCAACCCTGGCTCTATACGTCTGTCTAAAACAACGATTCGTACTATACTAATTTATTGATACAGGTAAATATAGATCGACCGGAAAGGCCGGTCAGGGTCAAATCGAAACATAGATAATAGATAACGCAAAACATAGATAATAAAGATAGTTGAACTATACATAATCCCCTGAATTTATTACATGAGTAACCTGGGCTACACCGAACACTTCAGCTAATATTAATATATTATACAAAGTATTCATCTAATTTATACGTAAATATTTACATTATATATTTCTTATTCTTTAAAAAGTATGCAAGGAATAACAACGAAGAATGTCTAATGCCAATCCATATATTATTTCATGTCAAACTTTGTGCTTTTATTTCAAACTTCTTCTAGCTGTTCCAGCAGTAATTTGTCAAGCAGTTGAGATATTGATAGGAATTTGCCAGGTTTTGCAGAACATTATTACATTCCTTGCTTTTAAACATACTTTTGCATTCTTGCAAATAACTATACTACCAATAAAATGTTAAGTCAAATCCAAACTGAAATGCAAAATCATGTTTACTCATGGTCATAATAATCAAATGAGGATATCAATTTTAGAATTAGGAAACTAGAAACTAATTTTAGAATTAGGAAAATAGAAATTAATTTAAGAATTAGGAAAATAGAAACTAATTTTAGAATTAGGAAACAAGAAACTAATTTTAGAATTAGAAAACTAGAAACTAATTTTAGAATTAGGAAACTAAAAACTAATGTTAGAATTAGGAAACTAGAAACTAATGTTAGAATTAGGAAACTTGAAACTAATTTTAAAATTAGGAAACTAGAAACTAATTTTAGAATTAAGAAACTAGAAACTAATTTTAGAATTAGAAAACTAGAAACTAATTAATTTTAGAATTAGGAAACTAGAAACTAATTGTTTCGCTACTTAGCGAATTCCCTAAAGAC